TCCATTTCTAATGAGTCTGTGTAAAATATTTATGAAATTCAACAATTGTGGTGGCTATAAATGATTCACTCAGCATAAATACTACCTTTAATTTTTGTACTTTTATTTCAGCTAATGGCCGTGGCTGGTTTTGATTCCAGTAGAATTCACCGTCCATCTCCTTCAAGGTCACTGCACTCCTGGGCCACACCTCCTTCTTCTCCTATCAGGCACAGCTGTTCGCCGTCCTACATGCCCCTTATACAGGTCTGAGAAAAAGAAGCTGAAATGTCTTTACATGAGGGTTCTCAAAATGAGTGCTTTAAATAATAGGTCAATTAATCAGATGAAAATTGTCATTTTAATGCATGGGCATCCATCCAATAATGTTTGCTCTAATTTACAGTCAATACACACTGTTATTAGCACACACTGCAGGTGAAAAAGTCATGATTAATTGTGATTAATTGGCATCTATCCTGTGATAAATTGTATAAAAAAATGGACACAGGTGGACTGGCGGATTCCTGGCAGTGTTGGCAGTCTCCCTGGAGCAGTGAAGAGGAGCTCCTGGTATACAGACAGTCAGGACGGTCCCCCAACTCGTAGTCATTCTCCATCACGTCTTCAGTTACCTGCTGAGAACTGTACCCATGTCCTGCAGAAGAGAGGCAGCGCCAACAGTCTGGTGGAGGCTGTGAGTTCCAAATTAGTCTTCTGAGTAAAAGCACATGACCTTTTGTAGGCAGTCTAAGTCTAGTTACTTATCCCAAAAGTTAACTGAGTTAGTAACTGGTAGTAATTACTACCCCCCGTAACTGGTTAGAAGGAAAGTAACTATTGCCTTACTTTTTTAAGTTTAAAAATATCCAAGAATAAAATATTTAGAATATTTTTTCCTAGTGGGTTTCCAGAACTGCATAGACAGGTACTTACAAAGAATTGTAAGGTTCCATAGTGTAGCAGTTAGCACGCCTGCCTCTGAAGCAGAGAGTCCTAGGTTTGAGTGCACTAATTTGTAAGGCCGTAATCTCCCAGTCGATAAAAATATATATATATATATATATATATATATATATTTAACTATATATATCTGTTAATTTAATCTGGATGGAGGTACCAAGTGCTTTTGGGGGTGTTTTGACTAGTTTGGATTAGCCAACTCACAAGTAGACCGATTGAATAACGTACTAGAAAACATTGCCCCCATAGTTTTCTGAATATTTATTTAATTTTAAATGTTTCATATACAGTCAGTCCTCCTCTACCATCATAAGTTTGAAAATCATGGTCTATGATATTGTGCAGATGCAGGTGATGAAAAACCCTGTCAAAGCTGACAGTTTAATATAAAAAAAAAGTTTTTTGTTTATTTATAATTAATTTAGGTGGACAAGGCTAGCAAGCACTGAAAAGATGTGGAGAGCCCGGTCTAAATGGTAACTCTGCCTTTGATTTGTTTTCACTCAGGTGTTGATCTCTGAAGGTCTGGGAAAATACGCCAGAGACCCCAATTTTGTCTCAGTTGCTAAACACGAGATTGCAGATGCATGTGAGATGACTATTGATGAGATGGAGAGCGCTGCCAGCAATCTCCTGAATGGAAGTATAAGTAATGACAGCACTGGAGGATCAGGGAACCTTAGCTTTGACCTTCAAGCTGGAACAAGTTTTAGAGACCACAGCATCCGAGACTACAGTGACGAGGAGCCGTACGTGGCTGTGACCTGTGAGGAGGACTTAACGGATGAGATGATATGCATCACATCACTATAGTAACGGCTCACACTGGAATATTTTAGCTATTTTTAAATAATATTTCTGCACATCCTGGAGCAGAGAAAAGAAAAGCAAACCATGGATGGATGAGAATAGAACAACAAGTGCCTTTTTTATTCTCTTTCTGGGCAGTGGTACATGGGAATGCTGGAGAGGTGGGAGTTGGAAGCACTTTGCCCTGCAGGTTTACAACATATGGAGCAAGGTAATCACACAGCTACACACAGCCAGCCAGATGGAAGAGTTGAAACAAAAGAGTTTGGCAGCTCAGATTCTCTCAGTGTGACAAAATACAACCGGTCAAAAGACAACTGTCCTTAATTCCATAAGAGACAAAGTACTTTTCTCAAAGTAGTATAAAATTATGTTTTGGAGAAAACAATGTCGGGAGTTTATAGACACCTCACTTGTGCCATAGTCCCCACGTGCAAGGCAACATTGTAACATTGTCACCTTGCTGTTATTACCTAATGGCCCAGAAATGCGTGTTTTTAGGTGTATCTTTTATGGCCACTAGGCAACACTAAAGACTGAGCTAAGTTGATTTGAGAAAACGTTTTGAATGAATAACAGAAAAAGTTGTTTGTTTTTTTTACCAAGCCATACCCTGAATGACCTGAATACTTAATTAAGAACAAATGTCTCACATAAAAACAAGTACTTTAAAACAAAAACAAATCCACCAGACCTGGTTGTGTCATATTTAGACTTTTTAAGTGAAGGGCAGAAATGTGTGGGCTGTCTTTGTGTAGCTGCATTATTTTGCCTCACAATGTCCCCTGAGTCATTTTAAGATCATGACTGTGATCAACAATGGTTCATTGTGAAGTGACTTTTTCTGGTTATATAAGTGTTTCTGACAGAGCAATGTGAATTAAGACCTCAGATAATGGTAAAAACTACTTTTCAGGGTTTTGAAGTTCAGCGGCGGCCATCTTTGTTTTTGACTTGAAAACAAAATTCACATATCAGTAAAATAGACTGTCCTCAGGTATACACTTGTTTTCTACTGAGTATGTAGGAAAACCAGGTTCAGTCTTTCCCCCATTTGCAACAACAATCTAAAGCAGCCGCTTGCTTTTGTTTTATCATAACACGGATGCTAGAAACCTTTGTTATGATTACGTTGACATGAGCAGAAAATGCAGTGCTTTTTTACAACAGCTTTAAACTAATGAATTCAATGGTCAAAAGGTTGTGCTAATCTGCATTACTTTAAGTGAAAGTGGGTTTGTATTGACCATCTGACAATCAGGGTTCACTGCTAAGTTTTCCTCCATTAGTCTTATTTCCTCTGTTGCTTACAAATGTGACTCGTGGAGACTTTTTTAAAAAGATAGCTAAACTCAATGATGTCATGTAATGTCCCTGAAATATATAAATTCAGTATGTTGTGGATGAGTGTATGTTTTGAAGTGATATTGTTGACAGTAACCTGTCACTTACTTGTATGTAGATAATTTTCCCCAACACTGACCTGAGGGACCAATGTGTCTGCAGAAGCAGAAGCTGCATCAATGACCAGCATTCATCTGTCACTGCCCACTATAAGAACATGTTCAAGTCAACTTTTAAAAGAAAAACACTGCCACTGTGGCTGGAAATGTGGGATTGTATTCTATTTCTCTGACAAAATCCTCTCTTCAGGGCAACACCATATTATTTTCACAACCAAAGGGCTTAGTTTAATATGAATCCAAACAATGGGAAACACCCCAATATTCAAATATTTGGACACACAGAGGAGTCCAAAAGGAATACATGATTGAAGCGTGACAAGCTGGTACCTGGGATATTCTTTAAATGTACTGTACACTAATTACGTCAATTAAAGTGGCCAATACATGTAAAATATGATGTGGTATGCATTTTATAACTGCAGGTACATTTGTTTTATTAGGGCTTAAACCAATATTAAACTTTCTAATGTTGAATAAATGCAGGCTGCTTGATTGATTTGAAGCCTAATAAATGTACTATGAAATGTGTCACAGCCATTAACAAGCCATATACAGTTGCAAGAAAAAAGTATGTGAACCCTTTGGGATTACTTGGATTTCTGCATTAATTGGTCATAAAATATGTTCTGATCTTCATCTAAGTCACATCACTAGACAAACACAGTCTGCAACAATATTTATCAGTCTACAGTTAAAAGTTAAAAGGGAAAAGTTTAAAAGGAAATTAATACAAATGTCCCGTGTTAAAAAGGTAGAAAAATCTGTACATGTAGTGATTGTTATATTTTATAAACCTACCTCCTAATTCTCACATGTAAATTCAAATGAAAAAAAATGGTAAACTTCATTGTGGCAACATGGCATCATTGATTAACAACAAATAGAGAATACCTGATACACTGTTTCTGACGGCTGGATCCATTTTCATCTTTGTGTGTCAAGTGTCCCTGGTTTGTACACAGGAATGTCTGCGTCGATGAGAGCAGGGCGACCTCTGATTAAGTCGGCAACCTTCTCTGCAATCATGATGGTCGGAGCGTTGAGGTTTCCACTGACAATGCTAGGCATGATGGAGGCGTCAACTACCCGCAGATGCTCTAGACCCAAAACCTGTGTGTTTGGGTCGACGACAGCCATGGGGTCGGAGGGAGAACCCATCTTGCAGGTGCAGGACGGGTGGTAGGCAGTGTCAGCCTTTTCACGCACAAATGCGTCAATGTCAGAGTCAGACTGAACCTGAGATCCAGGCTGGACTTCCAGACCACGGAAAGGTTCAAAGGCCTTCTGAGCGAAGATCTCTCTGGAGAGTTTGACACACTCTCTGAACTCCCACACATCAATATCTGAAATAAGAGGCAAAATGTAAACATCCTGGCTCCAGGCTACCATTTCAACTATGCTGAGATGCTCATTACACTTTTTTTTATGCTCATTGGTCTACAACCAACAACAGACTGTACTGCATCTGTGGGAAACACACTCAGCCTTCAAATATCTTCAACATGGCCCAGGAAGCTTGAGGCATCATTTACAACAGGGGTGTCAAACTTGTGAGCCAAATATAATTACACTGCGGGCTAGATTTGGCCCCCTGTCTGAGTTTGACACGTGTGATTTACAAGCTGAAGGTACGAAGCTGCAATCCAACATGTTTTCTAAGTGAAGTAGAGCTCCACCGATACCAATACACACTTAAATATGCTTAGTCAAGACAGACCAGTCTCATCCTGCACTGTATGTAGATTAAAGGTGAGAGCAAAACTGACTTGAATAAAAGGACAGAGAAACAGTAGTAACACAACTCCAGTGGCAATTACAATGCAGAGACTTACCAGTTGAAAGGTAGTTTGGTTGGATATACGGGTGATCAAGAGGGTTTGTGCTTTTCAGTTTCATCCAGCCAATACTAGTGCTTCTCAATGGTCCCACATGAACCTACATCACAAACAATAAGTTTAAGTAACAAAATATTTAGTTGAACAGCAGCAAAACCCAGGAAGTAGCAACTGCATGTTTAATATCACTACAAACATTCAATTAATCCATTTGGTGCACACTGCAGGGTTAATGTGTCAGTTCAAGTATTACAAGTTCTGTGTTTATTTTGACACTGTGGCAACCCCTGAAAAAAGAGACAAAGCCGAAAGAAAAAAGAAGAAGAATCTAAATACTTATTTGCATTTCAGTTATTTTAGGATTCCATTATACAATAAAAAACTGCGGGTTGTTTGTAATGACCTTATCTCAGTCACTCTTATCTTGTAGTGGGTATAATTACTTCTTTGGAATTGGGCCTGGAATTTTACAACATATCATCTTGAAATTATTTCCATGAAGAAATAGAGGAAACACTGTCAGTACGTGTGATCACATTTCCACAGAAAGCAGTACCTGATAGGCCTCTATTTTTGACGCAACTCTTCCATGATCAATGACCTGTGAGGGCAGGAAGTGAAACTGGATATCAGGGTGGCTGACGTGTGGGCGACTACGGATGAACCCTCCACTCTCCAGGTGGGCTGTTGCTCCATAACCTATAACAACAATCTTCTAGTGAGACATTAAGACAAATACAGAAGAAATGTGCCACACTGATTTCTCTGTGTCTGAACAAATAAGTTATAAAAAAGCAAACTTGGGTGCAAAAAAGGTCTTCACCCTTCTGCTCTTTCTTTTTCTAGAGGCCTTTAAATAGGAAATGTTATATATAAAAAAGAATTGAGCGTAAAAGAGAACACCTGTTGTCCTACAGGTTTTAAAACAGAACTGAACCTAAAAAAATAAAATGATGTGGTCACATTTACAGACGTGCCTTTCACTTCCTGAAAGAGCTCAAAATGTCTTAACAAGAGCTACACAACATGTGTAAATGGTTTAATATTATTGTTTATGTAGAAATAATTAATGTATAGACCTATTGTTTCCATCAAGCCTTGTTTTTGTCCTTCAGTCAATACTCGCTGACTCACTGACAACCTACAGTTTTAGATTTTTTAATTTAGTGATCTAAGACCTACCAAAACATTGGTATCTTCCTTAATGGTTTTGGTTGAAACTGTAGCACTCTCAAACTGAGATCATTAATATAGAGTTGGCAGCACAGAGCTTTTTAATAGATTATTATTTATTTTCTTGTTGAACTCTTGGAAAGACATTTTTTGACCACAACATGAATTCACATAGAAGGAAGTGGTGATCTCCTTATCTGGTTCAATATCATTTTAAGCAGGAAATGTGCACCTCAATAAAAATGTCTGCAGAATAAAAGATCTGCGAAAACAGATTATAATCTGGAAAAAATGACTGTTATACAATTGTTGTGAACTATTTGTAGTTGAATAAAACTTAAAAGCACTTTTAAAGATATACTAAATATTTTTCAGAAAGTATATATATATATATATATATATATATATATATATATATATATATACCATATATCTGAGAGAGTGTTTGTGTTTGTGGTACATTTTCATTTACCGGTGAACATGGTGAGCCACTCCAGACCTATCTTGATCATGTGAAAAGGTTTCTGGGCCTTGTAAAGGGTGATGGGCTGAGTGCACTGCTGTTGGACGTACAGTTCCAAATGATCCTGCAAATTACTACCAACACCTGGGAGACAACAGGCAAAGATCAACATAAACTAAATAAAAAGCATTGAGAATGAAGGCATTCTTTGTAAAAAAAAAAATTAATTAATTAAAATTAAAAAAAAATCCACCTGGTAAGTGCTGAACCACAGGGATGCTAAGTTGTTTCAGGTCATCTGCATTTCCCACTCCTGACAGCATGAGAAGCTGTGGGGAGTTGATCGCTCCTCCACTCAGTATTACCTCTTTGTCTGCAAACACCTGAAAGGAAAATCATTTTCCCATATTTACAAAGTCTGCAGCTGTGAAAGTGGCTCTTTGTCCAGGTTAACATTGATGGACTGACAGCAGCTGCCTCAATTCATCTCAGTTACATCTTGGAAATGTTAAACCTCACACCTGCATGTAAATTGCATAATAATAAAACACATCATGACATGTCAAAAGTTTAAGTCTTACAAAGGAATATCTGTGACTGATTCTGAGCCAAGGTAAATATATTTACCTTGCTGAATGGATATTTTACATTTGTTTATCAAATTCCCATTACTCACTGAGCCTTACCCTTTTTGTCTGGCCATTTTGCATGTATTCCACACCCACGGCACGATTCCCACTAAACAAAATCTTGGTTGTTAGGCAACGTACTTCTGTCTTTAGGTTAGCTCGACCTAGTACTGGTCTCAGGTAGGCACTAGCTGAGCTCCACCTCTTTCCTAGACATGATTTGAACAATGAGAAACATACAAAGATGGAATTTCCTGACTGTAATATTGCCATAAATATTACTTCACAAGTTAATATCACTTAGTTCTTTTTTCTACAACGTATACTAATATATAAATTAATAAAACAATTAAAATTAAATCCAATTGATGATTAATGATGATAAATCAATTTTCCTAAACAATTTTCCTAAACATTTTTTGATGACAAATGACAAATGATAGAATTTTTATATGGAAAAATGTCAAAGAAAAAATCAAGCTTAAAACTACACTAACAATTTTAATCTGATTATATAACAAATTAATTAACCTAATTAATGCTTTTATTTTGACAGCCCTCATAGTTAGTAATGTAAAATCCCTGAATAAAAACAACAACAAAATGTTGTACACATGCTGACAATTAAGTGTTTAAAAAATGTAATTTATTAAGTTGGTTTAATCAGACCTTTATAAATTGTCATGTCCATCCAACCAAGACCCTCCTGTTGGTATCCATTCATGTCATCAGTGAATGGATATCCGGACTGCTGTCCTGCTTCAATAAAAGCCCTATGAAGGGGGTGATTGGTCTTCCCTCTGGATACGTGAAGAGGACCACTGCCACCCCGATACCTACGGTTAAGAGGGGACACACCATTGTAAAAGTAATATGTCATAGTACAGTATAAATTCTTTAAACCTGTGCTAATTCAGAGAGCATATATTTAAAATGTGTATTTGATATAAAGAAAACTGTTTGGTCCAGAATATTCAGAATTTGGTCCATGAAGTGTTTAAGGAATCTACCATGAGATGACATTGGGAGTGCCAAGCCAGAACTCTATCATGATATAGTTTAGTCATTAAAACCCTTATGTTCTCGGAGCACTTTAATGTCCTCTGTATCATTACTATTCTCAGTTTATCTGCTTTTGTTAGACAAACTTAACTGGAATTGCACAGCGATTTACTCTGGTACTTTCACCAAGCATTTAAAAAAAAAAGTAAAAACTTGAGAAAACCTAGGATTCGATTATAAAAGGAACCACCCCCCAACAACAAACTGTCCAACAACAAACTTGAGACATACATTAAACACCTGATGTATGTACATGGCATGCTCATACGTACCATATTTAAAAACTCAACACAAATCTTTATTCACTTTCATGATGGCGTTTGTGATGTCATTTTTATGTGTTTATGATTACATAAAAGTTACCTTATCATACTCATAATACTTATCATATTAAGTGTAGCTGGTGATCCATGACAGAGGACAATAATGTTTTATCTCATCTGTCTTTTTTCTCTTGAATTTTGTTGTGTACCTGTTTTCCCCAAGCTCATGGCACTGAGCCTTCCGGAAATACGGTAGACAGTGTTCATAATCCCAGCCCTCTGCTCCTTCTGTCTGCCAACGGTTATAGTCTTCAGCATGTCCTCGAATGTAAACCATGGCGTTGAGTGAAGAGGACCCCCCCCACACACGACCCCTCGGCCAGTAGAGCACACGGTTGTTCATGTGGGCCTGAGGTAAAGTGTGGTAGTACCAATTAACCCTGCAGAACAACAGAAAAAATACAGCATGGCAGCAAATACACAGGAAATACAATCAATCAAATAAAAATTGTGCTAATACTTACTACGTCTGCACAATTATAGAGTCTGTTTTGTTTTAATATTTTATGATTAACTCTTTCACAAAGGAATGTGGAATTTGAAGGTTAGCATTGAATCAGTAGAAGATAAGAATCAACACGGACACCGTAACAAGTAATTCCACGAATCAGCTAAAAACATTTCAGAGAATTGTAAAATTACTGTACTTGTCATCACAGAGGTTGTAGGTCAGTGCCGCTGGCATGTGCACCTTCCATGACAATCTGGTGCTGCCAAGCCACTTGTCCTTAGGCCCTGCCTCCAGCAGCAGCACAGACTCATGGGCATCCTCAGTGAGGCGGTTGGCAAGGACACAGCCTGCCGAACCTGCTCCGATGATGACATAACTGTAAGACGGAGTTTGCTGTTGTGGCGGTGTTAAAGAAGAGGAGCTGCAGTGAGCTGCTGAAACACTGAAACATCTGTTATGGCTTATGCAGACGAAGGAAGTAGACGCTGTCCTTAATACTGAGACACATCCTGGTGAAGAGACAGAAAGACCTCTGCCATCTCTTGCAAATAAACTCATAGTTTTCTTCACAAGCTGCTGGGCACCAGTTCGGCCCAAGGTGGCCAAAGTCAACATCCTAGTCGTGGATAGGCTCTCTTCATGCACTGGAAAGAATATTACAAAACTGGTCAAGCTAGATTTGTTATTAGGCTGACGAACAGGAATAGATTAAATAAGCTCTAAACATCACTTGTCAAGTCACTTGTGTTCCAGTAAGAGAACTGAAGGGTGAATTTAAGGTTTGGCATTTTGGGTCTTGAGAAGGTTAATTATTATACAAATGTCACACCTTTTCTTTACTAAGGTCATATCTTCCAGCAGCTAAATTACAGTTGGAGGTGAATGGCCTTTTCTGGCACCAGCCACTCACTGCTGTTACAGTGAAAGGTTTTGTTCAATATTTACCATTAAGGTACATTTATTGTATATATAGTTTATTTGACAAAGCTGTATTTATTTATACAGCAAACTTCGTGTCTTTGATCTGCAATGGAAACATCACTTCTGACTACAAATGAGTAGATTTAATTATTTTTGCATTGTCTGCTCTTAAAGAGACATTAAGTTAATTATAATTAGCAGTTTTCAACATTTAACTTTCACTCAGAAGCAAAAATACTTCATTGTCCAATGGTAATGCTACCATTGGACATTGATCTCAAACACCAACAGACTTTATTTTAAGATAAATGTTGCTTAACAATAAATGGGTTTATTGCCAGTCAGTTGGAGGAAGCGAAGGAAATGTATATCTAGGTCAGGCCTTATCAGTTAACCAGCGGCTCAACAACAGCTTCATATTTAACCCACTCAGCAGATCTAATTCTAAAATGGCCAATCCTCACATTTTGAACAGACGTTAAAATGCACATTTCCACATTAAACCAACTTGTCATTTGAGAACACAAATGTCGCAAGACAATGTCGAACTTATTTATCAGTGTGAGGTCTATTGTAGGTCTGCACAAACACATACACGATTTTGTTTTGCGAGCATTACACGTACATAAATAAATGTCTTTTTTTACCTTCGTTATTCTAATCTCAGCTTTAAACCTAATTTTGAATCTTAATACACTCTCACTAGATGGGGAACTGCAAAATGTCACCACAACAATAGGATTCTCCAACCCACTCAGAGTAGAATACCAAATAGAACATAATTCCGACTTCGCTAAAGTGCAACTTCAAACTATCTTTCTAACTTTACTTTGAAGTAGAATCATGTTTGGTCTCCATTTATTATGACGGCCAAGACAAACACCAACAGCTGAAACTGTTTAACTCAGCCACAACAGTCCCGTGCACAACACACAGGCACAGATTTCTCTAAAGCACTTTCTGAAAACGTTTTTACCGTTTAAAGGGCTCAGTAGTTTTCTCTTAACGTCTCTCTATCTGCACATTTGTTTGTCTGAAGCTCGCAGTCATTTGCTGTTTACTTCACTGCGCGACTGGCACATGAATTTGCAGACTGCCTTCAGCAAAAAAAAGTTAGGTATTAAAATGAGTTCGACCGCAGTCACGTAACATACAGGTAACTAAAAAACAAAATAAATAACAAAACCCAGCTCATACCTGACTGAGAAACTTCCACAGCTGAGTGAACTGTTTTTGTCAGGGGGCGGGGCTTAACAGGCTGTATTTATAACCTAACGGACCCAGAGCTGGAGAATCTTCAACAAGAGAACTACTAACAGAAGGTAGGACAATATATGAGAAAATGGTTTGATAATTTGTATTAAATATGTCATAGATTTTTGTAATTTTACTATTAAAAAGAACCTTTTAGTTATTTAAAAAAATCAGTTATATATGATCAGTTTCATATGATTGTTTGCAAAGAAGGTGAAGATGTAACTTTACTGATGACTTGATTAAAACCACGCTTTCGGGGTTATCAAAAAAACAAAAAACACCCGAACATTGGTAACAACAGTTTTCACTGCAAAAACGTTTTGTAATTTTGTACAATACGAAAAAATTAAGTAATACAATAATTTAAAAATGACTTTTGGTTTCTAACTTTTTGGATTATATGGTCACTTTTCTGAGTTAAATAAATTGTCTTTGCTGTTGCTGTAGATGTGTAATGTTACAAGATTGATAATATTTAATCTTCACACACGTATAATGACATCATGTGTTTTTAACTTAACTGTACATTATTTATATTTTTGACAATATTTGTATAACTGAATTGTTCCTTTTATTAGAAAGATAATCAAAGCTAACCATTAAGCTATAAAACACTTGGATTTTTCTTTAAAATACCAGAGAAGAGACAACATCCGTTGAAACAACAAATCTTGTTTCTTGTAAACTAGAATATTTGTCAATCTTTATCTTCAGGACTGTAAATACTTCATGATGTGGACCATAGCCTTGATCTTTCTCTTTTGCATCCAAACTGAAGTGATGACAGAAAATGTAAGTTAATACATTCATTATTTTTATTTTATTTAGCCCAAGGTGTTTTGGGTGTGTAATTTATTTTATTTTTTTTTTTTTATTTAGCCCAAGGTTTTTTGGGTGTGTAATTTATTTTATTTTTTTTTTATCTTTGTTGCAGCCAATACATTGTGAATATACTGAAGGTGAGATGTAAAACCGCTGAATTCATGTCAAAACTGTGTGCTCTGTGATATATCTGTCTGGTTTTTCTCTCTGAGATACAAATGTTGAATTAAATGCTTGTGTGAAGTGAATGGAGGCGTTCTCTCGATGTGTGGACAATGAGTCTTACCACTGCTGCCTCTTGTTCCAGGACTCCCTGCCGAGAGTGCTACTAGTCCATCTTATCTGGCAGACTCAAAAGTAACGGCGGTAACTGATGGAAAAAAAGTGATGTTGAACATCAGCTGGGCTGTTAATATTGATGGTAGGAAAAGTCATGTTGCTCATCATCATATCATTTAGGTCAAAGTCTTACCTTGGTGCTTGAGATGCAAATTAGTTGCTTATGTAGCACTCAGCAACACAGATTTACTTCACAAAACTGGTCAGGTAACAATGATCCTGCATAATGAGCCTGTGAGAAGAGAAAATGTTATTTACTAAATATTGGGATAAGAGAAGAGTGACATCCTCTAAATAAAATGTTTTCTGTGTAGAAACACGCTTAAGTACATAAATAAGACAGAGGTAGCGGGAATAATGGTGAACCGTAAAGTAGCAGTACATAAAACATACTTGCAGACCAGAGGGTCTTGCAGAGGGGCTAGATAAATCACATTGGATTTATTTGGACAGCTCATATAAAGGCATTTGATTATGTTCAGTGAGAACCAAGTCCTTTGACTTGACTACACAGATATTGCAGTCATAAGAAAGCTAACATTTATAGCTTTAAACAAAAGATGCCAAATTGAAAGATCAAATTAATTAAAGTTTATCTTGGGCTTTACTGTAATAAACCCTATCATTTCACTGTCTTTCCAGCCAGTATCCATCATCTGACAGGCACGATGATCCACATAGAAGGGAAATTACCAATTCTCTGCAGATACACGCCACTTTTAAGGGAAAACACCACTGGTCCTAAACAGGTCTACTGGATCAAATCCCATCAATTATTGAACACAATTTTTGTAAATGGCTATTGTTTTCACTTTCATAACTTTTCTTTTTTAGAAGTGGTTCTATACTTTGCAACCAGCAAAACCTGGATTCTACCTCATTCAAGCCAACAACGTTCCCTTGCATCCACAATGGCCTCCCTGGGCTGTAAAATCAGCAAATATAACAGTGGACGAGCCTGTAGAGCGTAGGTTTTTTCTTCAACTGCATGAGGCCTAATATCATCTGAGTTACCATATAACTATGACTATGTAAACTGTGAGCTCCATGTTTTTCAGCTACCGTTAAATTAGTGATATTTCAAGATCCTACAGGTGAGAAATAACAGAAATCAGTGTGAAATGTTCATTCATTTCTAGATTTCATTTTATTTTTCATTTCATTTCTAATATGGTATTTAACATTCCTTTTTTATATAGCTGTTGCATTGGAGACCCCCACCCCTTGTAAGTTTTCAGTTTCCTTTTGCACTGTTATACTTGTAAATAAGGTATAGTAACTGGATTACTGCAGATTTAAACTTATATGCTGTATTATGTCAACTATACTTGTTTTTGCAGATGTGATGACAACAAGTGCTCTTGTAGGAGTCATGGCGTTTTTGATCATCATCTCCTGCTACTTAACATGTAAATCCACACCAGCTTGAGCTGGTTCTCATTTTAAAACCATCATTATTAAAGATTTTTGTACTTACAAAAGAAGTTTGTTGTGCTGCAGGTTTGAATATTTAGATTGAGAGTGACAGGAGAATAAAGCAAAAGACAAAAATATACAAACAAAAAAATCCCCTGAATGCTTTAACCTATCAGGTTTTGGCTCATAACAATGTTTTCCTAAACTTGTGTCAATTCCTTTAGATAATGTACAATATGTGTGTATCTGATGTTGTAAATGCTTATGTCTTGATATTCTACAGATAAATGCTGTGGAGACAACTTTGCCATGTGCTTGGGTTTTAAAAGAGTAGCTCCAGCTGATGTGGTTCCTGTCCCTGTCCTGGTCGTGTACCCTGCTGAGAATCCGTCCTTCCAGCAGGCCGTGGTGGCCCTGGCCGAGTTCCTGCAGTGGCACGGTGGCTGCAGTGTTGCTATAGACATGTGGCAGCAACAAAAGATTGGGGAGTTGGGGCTAATGCGCTGGTTGGCAGAGCAGGCCAGTGCTGCACATCGTGTTCTTATTGTCTGCCCTAAGGTACTGTAAAGACTGAGCACTTTTATGTATTTTTATCCATGTGACTAAAGTTCATTTTGAGAAATTATTAGTGGATTTCTTTTTTGGTTGGTAGAATGTTTCCACCTGGCGTTCCTTTTCAAACCTGGATCAAAATAAAGACTTACAATGAACAATTTTAGGAATAGCACAGTAGACATGATTTCTCTTTTCTCAAAATGAGAAATCATGCAACTCAAAATGACTGATTTTGAGTTGCATTTTGCCACCTACCGTCTGCTGTGCACAGCAAAGGAGTTCCACATACAGAGGTTGCAATCATCTTCACAGGAGAGACAAATCACAAAACGTAGGCGGCGATATTGCTGCAGACAAACAAAAATATATACAGTACTTATACACAGTGTATTTTACAAATTTATGCTTAATAAAAATGACAATATGACCTCCTGTCGACTATAACTAAAATATTGATATTAAATGATTCTGTAGCTTATAATAAAACAGGATATTTTGTTAAATATATGTCTTTTTCTTTTAGGAATCTTCTAAGCAGAGCTGCTCCCCTTCATGCAGCAGTTTCCCAGAACCCCATATCCCAGCTGCAGCCTATGACCTTTACCCAATGATCCTCAATATGGTGGCCAGTCATGCAAAGGGGAAGAGTGACCTTGCAAAGTTCTGGGTGGTGCAGTTTGACAAAAAGCACAGGAAGAGACCTAATACTTTACCACTGGAACTCAGAGCATGCAGGTCCTTTTGCTTGATGAAAGATCTGAAGAAACTATGTATAAATCTTCACAACAACAGGCAGGCTAACAAGCTACCATGCTTGAACTTTGGATCTGAAATAACATTGAGTAAACACAGTGTAGAAAAGTTTAACGACGCTGTTGAAAAACATTTGCAGCGTATTACATTGACAAATGTGACAATTCTATGAATGTCGTCATGAAAATAATGTCTTTACAAGCCAATAAGTGGACACATATTGTTACTGTTCAATAAAATGTTGAATTGTGTATACAGAGAGTCATTCCATTACAAATGCCAGTCAAAGACATGACATTTAAGTTGTAGTTTTGTTTTTGATGGGGTTTTTTTTTTGCTATATCTTTCTATAACTAGCAAAAAGTTAGCTACTTTTGGTTAGCCACTTTCTGATCAAGCTTTGTCATGGAAATTGGTAAATGCAAATATACATATGTTTTAACCTGTAAACATTTTCATTTGGAAACGTGCCAAGTTCTCTCAAATGATAGAGAAATAATACACTTATGTCAGCTATTTCCTGTATACACCGCCAAGAAACTCCGTATCCAAATAAAATGAGCCCTTACTTGTGTAACATGTGTACTTGTATTTACATTTTCATCTATTAATTCAAGTGACATACAGTATCAAAATATTACATTGTAGCTACCTCTGACTACCTCTGGATAGCGGCAATGCTTGGTATGGCAGTCGCAACCACCGCAAATCTTTGATAGAAGAAGAAGAAAGTCTATCACGTGATCAAACACGGAAGTACTGACCGCCATGCAAACAACAGTTTCTTATTCTATTTCGGTTCATAGATCCTAGTTTTCTATCCTTTCGGAAGTTGTGAACAAAGGCATTTTAAAGAGTTTTGTCTTTTGGAGTTTAAAAATTGGTCATGACTCAGGCGGAGAAAGAGCAGGACAACGGGAAGGAAAAAGAAAAGGAGAAAGACAAGGAAAAAGACAAGGAGCAGCAGCGCGGGGTGAAAAGACCGATCGCTCCTCCATCAATCCCGGAGCCTCAACAGGAGGTGAACATCCGTCAAGTTTTTCCGCTGTATAATAATCCGTTTTCAGATGATTTAATACAGTTCGCTCATTTCGAAATTCTGCAATTTGTCCCAAATGTACACTTTACTTGTGGAAGGAAGCTTAGTTTTGTACAAAATGTGATACATGTGATTGGGGTGTGTCGTTGGTGTACTTTGTAACAAAATAAACAAGATATAGTTAGTGACTTATCAGAATAACCTTTATAAATTACAGGGTTGCTGGTTTAGGCTAATTTTGTTCCAAGTAACTTTATCAGGTTGTTTTAGTAGCATTGTTTAAACAAGACCTTTGGTTAAATATAAGAAAACGAGAATCGTTTTTTTTTTACCTTCACAGCAAATCCAGAGTAATTTTGTAATTGTTATCAACCCTGGTTCGAGGACACTTCGTATTGGTCGAGCAACAGACACACTTCCCGTGACAGTTGCCCACGTGATAGCACGCAGGCACAAGCAAAGTGGACAGCCCAGACATGAAGATTCTTGGCTGCTGAGAGACGGTCTTAATGTACGTCACCACCCAACTAAAAATCACAGCTACATTTATGGCCAAATTACAAACGTCATATTATAATCTCAGGGCTTTGTTGTGCTTTTCCCCAGAAACCCGAGAGTAAAGAACAGAGACAGAATGGACTGAAAATGGTCGACCAGGCCATTTGGTCCAAGAAGATGTCAAATGGGGTACGAAGGACGCCAGTGTCAGCTGAACAGGTGTGTATGTTGGACAAACACTAGGAAAGGTGGTGCCAGCCACTGCTGTAATAGAAAGTAGCAGTGTATGATCCATAAGAATATAGGATCAAGGTATTTAGAAAAACCCATTTGTGTGTGTGTAGGCCAGATCGTACAATTGCCAGATTCGCCCTGCAGTACTTGACAGCAGCTCGAGGGTGAAGTGGACCAACACAGCCCACCATCCCCCTTATTTGGTGGGGGAGGAGGTGAGAGCATTTGTCTAAATTATAACGGACACACAAATACTGTAGTTCTGATGAATTTTGTCTCATTAATTTCTGACCTCTTTCCATCGTGCAGGCTCTTTATGTGAACCCCTCTGATTGTTATAACATCCACTGGCCTGTTGTCCGGGGACAGCTCAACCTTCACTCAGGTCCTGGAGGCTCACTGACTGCTGTCCTGGCTGACCTGGAGACAATTTGGAGTCATGTTATTCAAAAGCACCTTGAGATCCCACTCAAAGATTTAAAGGTAATGGTTCAGAACATTTACATGATGCCTTTTCAGTGTCCTTACAATAGAACGAATAGTTATGTTAATGAAAGAATACATGGTTATTTTTAAAATCTGGATTAAAGCAAACTATATACATTAAATACATCTCTTTTCAATTCTGCCAGTATTACAGATGTATCTTATTGGTTCCTGACATCTACAATAGACAGCATATTAAAGCATTAGTCAACATGCTGCTGCTCAATATGGGCTTCTCAGGTATTTCTCACTCACAACTATATATACAACCTGACTGCAACCCATTCAGATTCAAATCCATCAGTGTGGTTTTTCCCTCAAACATGGATCTAACTTCTGTCTTGTGTGTTCCCAGCTATTATTGTACACCAGGAGTCAGTGTGTGCAACGTTTGGCAGTGGCTTAAGTAGTGCTTGTGTTGTAGATGTAGGAGACCAGAAGACCAGTCTGTGCTGTGTAGAAGACGGCGTTTCCCACCGCAACTCCAGGTTCGCCCTAAGTCCATGCTTGGATTTTTAATGTCAACATAAACATTTGAGGTTTTACATTTGATTCTGAATATCTACTGTATCTGCTGTACTACAAAGGTTGTGTTTGGCATACGGGGGCACAGATGTTACACGTACTTTCTTCTGGCTCCTGCAGAGGGCTGGTTTTCCTTATAGAGAATGTCAGCTTTCCAAGAGACTGGACTGTCAGCTACTACAACACTTAAAAGAGACCTTCTGCCACCTGGACCAGGTCTGTTTTTGAGTTCTCAAGATTGAGAGAGGGAAATGTGAACTTTGGAGTAATGACAACCTTCTGAGTCTGGGTTCCTTCTTTTTTAACAGGACATATCAGGGCTACAAGATCATGAATTCCAAACTCGTTTTCCAGACTCTCCAGCTCTGCTCTATCAGGTTCGATTAGGAGACGAAAAATTGCAGGTACACAATTCAAACTGTAGTGATTGGGGATGCAGCTGTAATTCTTTGTACAGTTTATATATATATATATATATATATATATATATATATATATATATATATATACACACACACACACCTTTTGATTTTTCTAATCCTCTTTATTTTCTTTGATATGTATTTGGTCATACCTGCATTAGGCACCAATGGGACTTTTCTACCCGACCACTTTTGGTATCGTAGGTGAGAAAATGACGTCACTCCAGTACCGTTCCCAAGGGGACTCTGAGGATCCCCATGATGAGCACTACCTGCTGACTACACAGAGCAAACAGGACCAGGTAACACAAAGACACATACTCATAGATTTTTTTCCCACAGTTTTCTTTTACCTTTTTCCCAGAAATGGACACTTGTAGGTTACTGTTCTTTTGCTGTAGTCCTCAAAATCTGCTGCTGAACGAAAGGCAAGACCAGGTGGCGCTTTGGAAGGTGAGATGAGCAGTCAAGGAGGCATAGGGGACCTATCTGACCTGCCCAGGGGCTGCGGAATGATAGGCAGCGGAGGAGGGGAGTTAGAGCTCGGGCCTGCACAGGGGGAGTGTCTGATGGGCACTGCAGAAGCAGATGAGCCGTTCTCTGCGCATCTCTCCAGGAAGACTGCAATCATGAGTCAGTTTGAAAGTAAAGCACTGGGCCTGGATAAAGCCATCCTACACAGCATCGACTGCTGTGGTAAGAACCAATCACAACAAAGGACCAAATGAAAGACTTTAGTAACTACTTAGTTTGAAAAAAAGTTGGAGAAAAGTCTAGATTAAATATATATATATTAATTTACAGCATCTGATGAAATCAAGAGGAAAATGTACAGTTCCATCCTGGTGGTGGGAGGTGGGCTCATGTTCCACAGTGCTCAGGAGTTTCTGCTGCACCGCATCATCAACAAGATGCCCCCGTCCTTTAGGAGACTAGTTGACAACGTGGAAGTAATAACACGGCCAAAGGTAACTTGGATATTTTAATACCCTAAGGGAGAAAATAGCGCTATTATGTGTAAATGGCAATAAGGAAGAAATAGATAGAATTTAGCCATGCTCTGCTTATCTATACTAATAATGTTTTGATGCTAATTTCTCACAGGACATGGACCCTCGGTTAATATCCTGGAAGGGCGGAGCAGTGCTGGCATGTCTGGACACAACCCAGGAAATGTGGATCCATCAGAGGGAGTGGCAGCGATTTGGTGTCCGAATGCTGCGTGAGAGAGCAGCTTTCGTCTGGTGATACGAAGCTTAAATTCATTAAATGTGAACTGAAAACTCATGGACAACAAGTAGTAAAGTACAGCATGTTTTCTGTAACAGACTGGAATTATGTCCTGAATGTATTCATGTGTCTAGAAACATTTGTAAGAGTAATACATGGCAAGGATGATTTGGCATCTAAAAATGACTTCTGGTTAACAGGATTGTCTAAACAAGATTTGTTAGAAAGACTTGCTAGTCTTTTGTTTGTTTTGCAAATATTATCTTAAATGTAAATTTAACTGCACCTGAATAAATCTGTCATACCTGGAATCAAAACTAATGCATTTCAACAGTTCAAATACATACAGTAACTAAAGCAAAAAAGACTCTGATGTATCAGGTTTTAACAGTTCACTTTGTATTTAAGCAGGTTACAAAAAAGAAATGAACTTACAACAAGATGGTGTAAATTAGTGAGTTACCATGACTAGAGCTGACTAAAGATTTCAACAATAAACATTTCTGGAAAAACTATTGTGGGTGGATGTAATGGGTAAAGGGGAGGAAAGGACGCAGCTAGCTGCTATATCAGCCATTCTGGCCCCTGCGTGCAGGAATTCCCAGAAGGGCATCAAGAAACTGCTCTTGGCAGTGGCAGCCAATGAAGAGAGGCTTCAGCATTCTTGTGCCAACAGTTGTCATCAAACAAAGCTGCTGAGCCTCACGCCTACACTAGATGTGTAGGCATTTACCTGGAGAGAATTAAGAAATGCAAAATTAACTCTTAAATACTGCATCAGAACTTTTAATTTCTCAGTTAACATCAAATACTTTCCTCTGTGATAGACGTTGAAATAGATGGGATTAAAAAAGGTTATCAATATAATATTTTAATTACCTTCCTCATCCCCCTCCACCCATTGGTGGGGCACCAGGACCTCCACCGTGAGTTATCCTTCCAATCCGCCTTCTGCCTCCAGGAGGACCTGGAGGACTGTAAAAACAGCATTACTTATGAATACAGGAGGAAACGCTGACATAAAAAATATTTTCTTTGGCTATATATGTTTGTAAACCTAAACGGCAAGGGAAAAAAAATTGCATTCACCTCTTAGACAGCAACATCAATTGTTTTCACATAAATCTATATTGTGATGTGTACATATATATACACGTACAATATATATATACATATATTACATTTTTAACACATTTTACCTGCACACTATATCCAATAATTCCACTGTCCATCCACTAATCTTTACTCTTACCAACAACACTCTCTTTCTCAACTGTCTCAGAAACCTACCCTCTGCCATCAGTGTAGTGGGATGTACCACTGTTTCCTTCCTTTGTCAAGTCTGGGTGAATCAACGTTTTGAAACTATATATAGAGACATACAAGGAGATAAAGGTGGTGATGAAAAACATTATTATTTACAGTATTAAGTTGCATAATACATGTAAGAAATATCAAATCAGCTGCTGATTGACAAAAAAATCTATATCTAAAATAAACAGTTTTACCATTACTGAGCACACATTAGCAAATTAGGTTTGAAAACAAATCGACTGTAGAAATAAATTACTTACAACAGCCCAATAAATTCCACTGCTCCCCAGAACAGATCGACCAGTAGAGAGAATCGCCACGGTGACTGGTACCTGTTGTCCAGGACCTGGCCTGAGACATTAATGAGACTGCTGATAATTAGCTGGTGGCAAACACAAAGCAAATTAGAAAAAACATGTCGCCATTATTTACACAGCTCACTTTTGTGTAAGCGTGACACACATTCAAATCATGCTTCACTCCAATCTGTATTTACCTTTACTTACGTACAACAGAAAGACACCAAGATAACAATCAGGTAAGGCTAGGTATTATATGGCAAGAATAAATGGATTACAGAACCGACGATTTGCATTGTAAAGAAAAGGGGTCCAATTACATTTTAAGTTTAAGGGTATAGAAAATGCAATTTTACACGAGTAACCAATAACTGTTAGTCACTGTGGATTGATTTAATATATATCCTAGACTACAAACCCAGCTCTTGTACATAATTTTCTATTTTACGTATAACAATCGAAACTAGAAAAGCTAACATGCTACATAGCTAAACAGAACGGATTTCGTCTTTTTTCTGCTGGTGTAGATTATTCTCAAATAGTTAGTTGATATCGCTCTACAAAAATGCATTTTTCTTTCTAAAACGAGGTAATATACAAAAAAGATACAAACGACTTACCGTTGGACACGTACACCATCTTGTCTTTTCAGCTACAGGTTCAGAGTTGTGTTTACTTCCGGATTGAATATCGCTGCGTCACACTTTAGGCGCACGCGCAAAACCTGTGCAAAAGTTATTCATATTAACAAAACAAACATCCTAATTTTTACACTCAAACGAAGCTGTTCATCTAAGAATTAAGTATAATACGACCACACAGTCTTTTACCTGAACGAAACCTTAAATTGACATTTTAACATTTCTGTGATTTGAGGGTAGAGTTTAGGGTATTTTTAAAGCACCTTTTTTTTTACGCATGTCACTAATTGTATGTACTTTAAACAGAGTTTTTAGTACATACAGAATACACGTGCAAACATCTTGAAAGTTCTCAGAGAATTTTTGAATGTCCAAGATTCGTACTTCATATCACAGTGGTCTGTTGCTATACTAATGGTTATATTTCTCACTTCTCTATTGTTCCCTAACGTTTGTTGTTTCATTTTCTTATTTACAGTGAAGAGTGATTTTTATGTTAGCGTTGTTGTGAGTTTTGAGGCACAAAAGCAACATGTGATGTCATCAAACTACTGTGGCAAGTCATTTTATCTGCCTCTGATCTTCCAAGAGAAGACCTCCTTCACAGAAATCACACCAAGACTGGTTACTTTAGATGCCGTTTGAACGTTTTGATTATTATTATTATTACAGGCTTAGACCAGAACAGTGTTTGACTCTTGTGGTTGTATGTAAAAAAAATGATCACGAAACCACACGTCTTATACAAAACTAAGGACAAGGACATAGAACAATAAACAATTAATCACAACTGACTTGTTTTAATTATTCATTAATGAAAAACAGTTAGGGCATTCGAAAGACTTCAGTCAGACGTTACACAATGTACCTGTAAAACGTCAAACTCTAAAATTAATATATATATATATATATTTATCTTTGTTCTGAGATTCAGTCATCTTTTCCTGTTGTTTCCCCTTTCAATGTCTGTATCCACAACTGGTTTACCACACAGCTGATAGGATGCCGGTTATTTCCACCAGAAGTTATGACGAACAAGATTGGACCGGAAATACAGCTGCTGGGTTTTTATCACTTCTTTGTGACATTACTACCACCTTATGGTGAATTTACATTAATACAGTAGTTGGTTCTCTTTTCGCTGCTGTCTTTTCGACATTGTATTGTAATAAAAATATTGTCACTGTGACTAAATAATCATGACTATATAAATTGCAACAACATTAGACAACAGCTAATGAAGATGGTCATCTGAAAATGTGAAATGTGATTTTAGCCTTTTACCTTTATTCAAACGTCTATCTATCTTCGACACTTTGTTTACAAGACCACTAGATGACAGCATTACCTAAATTATAAGCGTTAAAGGGACTGTAGCAAAATAAAGATTACTTTCAATAAACATAGCTACAAATGGCTGGTTTTAATCATCCAGGTATTTCTATATTTACCTCAGACATTCTCTACCAAGGCCACATGTAGGACTCGGTGAATATGTTAGCCCACTGTAGACAAAGAGAACTTTCACATTTTAATAGCCAGCGTTGTGCTCTACACACTAAAAATTACAATGTGTACTATCACCACCAGATGTTCCTGAATCCTACTCTGTATAACTTTTTTTAAAAATTTCAATTTTCAAGTGTCTCGCTGTTGGTCTCATTATATCGGTAACAACAACACGATTTTTCTAATTTTGACAGAGACCCCTGTGGCCTTACAGGGCCTTTTAAGTTCCCAGACCACCCTTTGGGAGAGGCTAATTAATTATAAAGAAACATCTGTACAACCTGGAACTTGTTCATCTTTACTTTGTAGGAGCTTTTAATCACAGCAGCGATCCCTTTGCTGCTGCTCCTGATGGACATGACCTCAGGCTGAAGGTCAGAGGTCAAAGGTTTAGACAAAACAGGGCTGGAGTTGTGAGGGCTAACCCTGGCAAGAGGGTCAAAGGTACTGCAAAACAGTCTTGTGTGGAAATTGTGATTTACAATCCAACTAGAGTGACTTTTGAGAGCACTAATAGTGTTTGTTGTCAGGAATACCTAAATCCATATTTGTTATTCAACTCACATCCAAATAAAGTTTCACAAGAAACTTCTGTCTCAGGTTGGCTAGAAGGGTAAGTAGAAGTGAGCTTTAAGATACATAAGCCAAAAACATCTAAAATATGGTTAAAAAAAATTGGGAATTTATGTTCTAGAAGATAACATAAAGAGAAGCAGTGAAAAGTTGTAAATAGACAAAACCTGATCACATTAAGCTGTCAATAAGAGTTATTTTCTGCGCTGAAAAGGACTAGTCTGCATGAAGGACAGAGACAAAAAAAAAAATCTAGAACTAAAATGATTCTGAATTGAACTTGAACCCAGATTTATATTCACTCATGCACACAAACAAATACTTATACTTTTCTCCTCACGTACCGCATCACTCACAAACTTTCTGGAGACGATTACGGATGGTTGCTCGTGCGTGAGAACCGCAGTGTTAGAGCAGACGCAACTACAGCCTGGTTTGCTCTCTGTGCTGCCACATGCAATCCACATATACATATACATATACATATACATATATATATACATATACATATACATATACATATACATATACACACACATATATAATGTATGCATGTATATGAGTTTGTGGCTGACACACTCAAACCATCAGCTAATGTATGACCAATCTGTAATTGTGGTTAATTGAGGTCAAAACAGTTTGACTGCTAAGGTTTTTACTCACCCGGGTCCAAAGTTCCCATTATGACAACATGGTTTTGATTTGTGTTTGCTTCAGAGCAGCCTCTGTCAATGTGTAGACTGTCAAGACAAAACACTGTTAATGTCACAAGGATATATACAAATACATTTTAAATTTACAAACATATTACAATAACTCCATATCATTTTATCATCAACTACACCATCACATTGGAGTATGAGTTTTTGTTGGATTATGTAAAACTACAAAGTTACACCTTCTGACATCAGTTGGAATATGCCTGCTACAAATATCTTTGAAAATGAATGCTCTCCAACATTGATGTGTGTCTGTGTTCTCCTCAGAAATTCAATTGTGTGCTCTATCTCTCTCTCTCACACACACACACTGTCTCACCTTAACAATAATGGATGAGTCCATTAGTGTTAAGTAACAGGTTCAGCCATTCCTCACACCCTCCACTGTAATTCACAGTATGAAGAGCTTTTAACACAGTCTTCACTTGTCTTATCTCAGTATCTCAGACCCCAGCATGTCAGATATCACACAATTCTGAGGAAATATTGCATTAACAAATTGCTAGGTGTTCACAACTCTAACTCAAATTAAACAAACTCTTCTGACAGTTGTACCTGTGATACATGTTAGACCAGGGAAGTAAATGAAAACTTTTACCCCACTCCAAAAAAACCTGACATTTCCTTTTAGAGTGTAAATACCCTGTAAGAGTATGTGGTGACAGTGATGCTGTAGTAAAGGTGTATTTGAGAGAGTAGATTGAGTTGATCTTTCAGCACCAGTATATCCACCTCCAGTCTTGTAAAATTGTGAAAACACAGATAAGCCCATAAAAATGTAAGGATTTGTGGATCTGGAGGTATTTTCTAAGGATTAAGCACAGTTATGGGCAGATGTGATTATTTATCTAGTCGACAGGTCACTGAGGCTCTTCTACATTTGCTGAAGACATATGGTTGAAGGTTAGGACCGAACAGTGAGATAACAGAGGGGAAACAGAAGGAGGTTAGAAAAAGCTGTGAGGATCATAAGAACATTCTGTCCTGTATTCGTTTCACTCAGATTAGTTTCTTCTCTTCTTGCCGGCAGTTAAACTGGTTTCAGCTGGTGATGGTTATTGCAGATTGGCGACCCTGCTTGGCAGTGGTAGTTTGTTTGTTTAGACTTAACGTTTGACTTTAGTGACA